AATAGTTTGTTTTGGTTATGCGGGGCATCGATAATTGTGAAAATGAAAAAAATATAATAACAAATTAAATACTTTCTTTTGGAGATGCAGGTTACCAATCCCCGTACAACTCGCATGCAAAGCGAGCGCTCTACTATCTAAGCTACATCTCCACAATTTTTACGTCACAAAACCCTAAACATCTCGTCATGAATAATAGTAAAAATGAATAAATATCACTACTCATTATATCATAATTAAGGAAATATTGAATAAAAATAAAATAGTAATAACGAATAGTTTCTTTTGGAGATGTGAGGTATCGATCCCCGTATCTCTCGCATGCTACATTCCCACGATTTTACATCAGAAAACTTTAAACTTCCCGTCATCAATGATATTAAAAATGAAAAACTATCTCCGCTCATTATGTCGTAAATAAGGAAAAATTTAAAAGAACTAATATATTTAGTAATCGATTCCTTTGTTGATGCATGGTATCAATCCCAGTACTTCTCACATAGCGCAGGATCTCCTTTCACTGTAGCCAACTAGCTTGAGTTTCTCCTTTCCGCTCCCTGCGCAGTATCTTATACCCCAGCCTCTGGTTCCGGCTACATAGCGCAGGATGCGCTTGACAGCCGCTAAATGCTCCTCCCTAGGTGCTTCCATAAACCGGCTCACATATCCAACAGAATAAGCAAGATCAGGACGAGAGTTTACCAGATAGCGTAGACTCCCGACAATGCTGCGGTAATTGGTGGAGTCGACTGTCGTCGTAGTGCCAACCTTCCTTAGTTGGAGTCGGGCCTCCATTGGCGTCCTTGTAGGATTACTGTCCACAAGTCCAGTTGTGTCCAGCAGCTTCTTTGCGTATGCACTTTGGCAGATGGAGATGCCGGTAGAATTCTGTTGCACTTCGATGCCGAGATAGTAGCTGAGCACGCCGAGATCGCTCATCTCGAAGTTTTTCGACATCTCCTTCTTGAACCTTCTGAGGACTTCCATGTCACCTCCAGTGATTATGAGGTCGTCGACGTACACTCCCACGATTAGTCGCTTCTTGTCATGGCCGTGCGTGTACATGCCATGCTCAGAGGCGCAACGTTTGAATTTCAGTGACAGTAAAGTACTGTCGAGCTTCGCGTTCCAGGCTCGTGGAGCTTGTCGAAGCCCGTAGAGTGCCTTGTGCAGGCGCAATACTTTATTGGGGTTGTTGTTATCCAGGAAGCCAGGTGATTGTCGGACATAAACAGTCTCCTTCAGCTCTCCGTTAAGGAAAGCAGACTTTACGTCCATATGGTGAACCTCCCAAGAGTAATGTGCTGCAATTGCAAGTAAGAAACGAACGGATTCTAACCTTGCCACTGGCGCAAATACCTCTTCGAAGTCCACTCCTTGCTTCTGGACGTAGCCCTTCGCCACCAGACGGGCCTTGTGTTTCACAACTTCTCCTTTTTCGTTGCGTTTCAGTTTGAAGACCCATTTGAGCCCTATGGCTTGGTGTCCCGGCGGCATATCCTCCAGACTCCACGTCTGATTTTCGGTGATGGATGTCATCTCCTCCTGCATTGCCTTCAGCCAGCACGGGTTCTTTTCTGCTTCGGCGAAGGTGTTCGGTTCATCTGCACTGATGGCATGTAGTTCGGCCACTTCTTCGAGCTCGCGCACTGCCAGTCCAGGTGGTTCACCTCCTCCTACTAGGTCGTCCATCCTCCGGTACCTGGCCTTCAGATCAGTATCGTGATCGGCATCCAGCGTCGAATCCGCAGTCCGTGGTGTTGCGAATTCCACTGGTTCAGGGGTTGCACCTGCTGGCTGCGGTGACGGCTGCTGATGCTGGGCTCCTCCTTCTTCCGGCTCGGTGATGAGGTACTCCACCGTAAATTGATTTGGATTATGGTCTGCCTCGTTCACGTCATTCCACTGCCAGAAGGTGCTTTCGTCGAAGACGACGTTGCGTGACACGTGAGCTCGCCCCCCTACAGGATCATATAGTCTGTACGCCTTGCTCCCGGGTTCATAGCCGATAAAAACGACCTTTAGCCCCCTAGGATCGAGCTTGGCGAGGTGGGGACGTGTTACCTTCATGTAAGCGACGCAGCCGAACACGCGAAAATGATGTACCGCTGGTTTTTTGTTGTACCAGGCCTCATATGGTGTCTTCCCGTCAAGGCTTCGGGTTGGTGACCGATTGAGGAGATATACGGCCGTCATTACTGCCTCTCCCCAGAATCTCCCAGGCATCCCGGCCGTCACCAACAATGACCTTGCTGTCCCGACGATGGTCTGATTCCGGCGCTCCACCACTCCGTTCTGTTGGGGGGAGTAGGGCGCCGTTAGGTGCCGTTGTATGCCGATTTCGTCACAATACTTACCGAAACTTGTCGAGGTGAATTCTCCGCCTCGGTCTGTGCGCAGCACTCGCATCTTCTTCTCACATTCGGCCTCCGCTCGCGCTTTAATGCACTTAACCGCCTCTGCCGCCTCACGAAGCGGCTTTTGTCATCGACTAATAGGAGGAAGAAACTCTTACCGCCTGGGGTTGCCGGCTTGATGGGCCCGCAGATATCGCCGTGTATAAGCTCCAACGGCTCATCGGCTCGATAGGATGTTCGAGACGGAAAGGGTGTGCGCCTCTGTTTGCCGATGAGGCACCCGTCGCACAGCTTGTTCACACCTTTGATTGCTGGCAAACCGTGCACTAACTTCTCCTTCTGTAGTTTTTCTAGAGCAGGAAAGTTTAAATGCCCGTACCTTGCGTGCCACCTCCAAGATACCTCTTCGGTCTTGGCTGAGAGACTGACAGGTTGCTCTATCTCTAACTCCAGGATGTAAAGACGGTTTGTCGTGCGCCTTGCCTGTGTGAGCAGCCGTCGTTGATTATCGCAAATTTTGAGTAATCCGCGCTCGATGGAGATGAAACAGCCTGTCTCATCGAGTTGACCCAGGCTCACAAGGTTAGCCTTGAGCCTCGGGATGAAGTAGACGTCGGTCAGCTTGCGATGCTCGCCTCCCTTGCTGGCGAATAGGATGGTGCCGCGTCCTTCGATCTCGACGACGGATCCGTCGCCGAATTTCACCGTCCCGCGGATCCCCGAGTCGAGTTCGGAGAATGCAGATCTAGCCCCGGTCATATGGTTTGTTGCCCCTGTGTCTAGGATCCATCGCCGGTCCTTGTGTTGCTCGTCCCCGCTCGCTGATCTGAGCGAACACTCGCTCCTCCTCCAGTTGAATTGGCTCCCTAGCTGGTGCCACCTTTGCTACCCCCAGCTGGAGCTCTTTCTCGAGTTCAACATCGTTGTTGATTACCTCCATTTCCGTGGATTTGGAATCGATAGTGGGGACACATGCACTTACCATGAAGAGAGCTGGCTCATCCTCCTCGGATTGAGCCACATGGGCCTTTTCGGCCTTCTCCTTGTTCCTAAGCTTGCTCCAGCAATTCCTGCTTAGGTGTCCTCTCTTCCCACAGTTCGTGCAGATTGGTCTGCCATTGGTCGACTCCTTCTTTTGATTCCCATCTTTCCCGCGCATGCGCCCGTGGGAGATCCATGGCTTCTTACCGTCTTTGCGGCTGGAGGAGGACCCGTTGCTCTCGCCGGTGTTGTCACGGAGCTTTAGACGTGCAAGCCATTCCTCCTCAGTGAGGAGTAGACGACCCCCCTTGTCGACAGCTGAAATGGTATTTTTCTTCCGGTCACCTCTTCTACCGTTAGGTCGTTCACGTCAAGCAATGTCTCGATTGAAATTGCAACTTGCTCGAGGTGATCAGGGACAACGTGCAGCATCTTCTTCACGATTTCTGTCTCGCTGATGCTGCCACCGAGTGTGGTGATGTTGTTGGCGAGCCCCGTGATCCGCATTGAAAAATCATCGACGGATTCATGCACTTACCATGAAGAGAGCTGGCTCATCCTCCTCGGATTGAGCCACATGGGCCTTTTCGGCCTNAAAAGCACTTCGGATTGTTGATTCATCACCAGAGATGGCTTAGAACCAATAGTTCATTATCTAATGGATTTTTCCGTTCTAATACTCCATCCGAGAGTTATCAGTATTTATCAAATCTGTTCCTATCTAACGGAACGCTATTGGATCAAATGACAAAGACATTGTTGAGAAAAAGATGGCTTTTCCCGGATGAAATGTTTGTTGCTATCTGTTACAATAACGAATCATTGGTTTAACTGAATAACTAAATAAAATAGATAGACCCTTCTCTTCGTCTTAGGTCGACGGATCTTCTCCATTGAAAGATCCCCTATATGGATAATACACATTCCAGTTCAACGAGCCTAATTCTAATTGTTTTGTTCCGAAGCAAACCACGGGGCGGTTCGTCCTATTCAGATATTCACGACCAAGAAACACTGGATTCTCTTTCGGGTAGGCCCTGAAAGGAGAAGGAAGGCTGGAATGCCAACAGGCGTCTATTATTGAATTCACCCGACCCGATAGTACCCCATTTTTGGAACGTCCAGTGCCAAAGTCACTGAATGGGTAAGTCGCCAATCCCTAAAACGGACTATGTAATGTACTTTATCTGCTGGGTTACGGGTGGGCATTTTACCAGAGGTTTCTATTGTATCAATCTACCCTTGTTTAATTCCTGTTGAAGCATATACTCGGGGGGGGGTGCAGGGCGGACGATTTCAAAGCGGACTCCCATTCATTAGATAGAGAAGATCGCCAAGATTTCGTGATCCGCTGCCGAACTTATTCCTTCCAATTCAACGGGCATTCTCAACATTATGCCTTGAAGAGGACTCGAACCTCCACGCTCTTTAGCACGAGATTTTGAGTCTCGCGTGTCTACCATTTCACCACCAAGGCATCTTGAAAGTGAATCATATTCCATGAATATGATATCTATCTAGTGTGATGTATGGAATATATGACAACGGTGGAGTGTTAGAGTATTTCTATTGCTCGGTCATGTCATATAGGTCCGAGTCGGACATCCAATTGCTTCGATTTGAATTATCCGGAGGATGCCTTACTATTATATCAAAAAGATGGACAATCAAACCTATTTCTCGATTCAATAGAAGCCCAAAGAGATGAATAGGGTCCCAAATAACGAGAGATATGTAAAAAACAGGTCCGTACGCCTGCCTATTCCTAATCCTAAATGGAATGTAAGGACGTAGGGATCCATATGTAAACATAGTATCTATTTAAATACGCTCGGATGACCCCTTCTCATAATTAGAATGTATATAACCTAGCCCTATTCCGGTCTGGCCCGGTATGGAATGAACTTATAATCATGGAATCGACTCGATCGGAGGAAACTAAACAGGAACAAGAGGGATCCACCGAAGAAGATACTTCTCCTTCCCTTTTTTCGGAAGAAAAGGAGGATCCGGACAAAATCGATGAAACGGAAGAGATCCGAGTGAATGGAAAGGAAAAAACAAAGGATGAATTCCACTTTAAAAGGACACGCTATCAAAAGATAAAAAGACCTGTTTATGAAACTTCTTACCCTCCGGATGGAAATAAAGAAAATTACAAAATGCTGTTAGATTTAGATACAGACGAAAAAGATATGTTCTGGTTTGAAAAACCTCTTGTGACTATTCTTTTCGACTATAAACGATGGAATCGTCCACTTCGATATATAAAAAATAACAGATTAGACACCCGTTTCAAATGCATATCCCATTTTTGCACAGCAGGGTTATGAAAATCCACGAGAAGCAACCGGCCGTATTGTCTGCGCCAACTGCCATTTAGCTAATAAGCCCATGGATATCGAGGTTCCACAAGCGGTACTTCCTGATACTGTATTTGAAGCAGTTGTTCGAATAGCCCATGGATATCGAGGTTCCACAAGCGGTACTTCCTGATACTGTATTTGAAGCAGTTGTTCGAATTCCTTATGATATGCAACTGAAACAAGTTCTTGCGAATGGGAAAAGGGGCGGTTTGAATGTTGGGGGCTGTTCTTATTTTACCCCGAAGGGTTTGAATTAGCCCCCCCCCCAGCATCTCTGGGGGCACAGATCGTAATATGGCGGCAAACGCCAACCGATCCTCACGGTACTCAATCGTTTCTCCTTCCTCTGGCTCAACACCATGCCATAACCCTTGCGCCTGGCAAACGCCAACCGATCCTCACGGTACTCAATCGTTTCTCCTTCCTCTGGCTCAACACCATGCCATAACCCTTGCGCCTGTAGGTTGACGCGCATCAACAAGATCCATTCGTTATAATTGGACTTTGTCAATATTGGATACTGAACGACGGCAGTCGTTGTCTCCCTGATCACTCGCTCAACAATAACTTGACGCCCTCTTCGTGGCGGCGGTGATGGAGATGTCGGCACACGACGACGGCATGGAGGAGTGAGTGAGCCTGCCCGAGATGGGTCCCACGATGTGTGTGTTTTTACACTTTGCATTTTCTTCTACTCGAACCTGAGACCTTTGTGATGTTAGGTCAAAGCTCTAACCACTTGAGCTATTCAACTTGTTTGTTGATAGGTTGGCTCCTCTGCAATGATATACACCGATCTTCAACCTGGCTCTGATACCACTTGTTGGTTTTCACAGAATTTCGGTGAGAGGAAATTGGGAAAATGAGTAACAAAAAGGAGAGAGAAAAATAACTCTGAATTTGACTGCGTTCAGGTTGTTTTATTTTCTGAACAAATCTCCTATTTAAAGTAAAAAAGAATTCTAAAATTGGCTGGAGAGTGGCCAACTAAATCTGTGCCACTCCCTTCTAAAACTCTGGTGATCCATTCGACGTGATTTGTCAAATGGTCAAACTCACGATTTTCTGAAATCGTGTGAATAAGAAAAACGGTAAAACTCAGGTTTTATCCACGTCAATAACTTGAAACGTTATTATTCCGACCAAGAAAACATCAAGTAGAAGCAGGTGGTATGACGTCATGCAAAGAAGTTAAAAGTTTCAAGCAAAGAAAGTAGGAAATACATCAATAAAGAAGACTTTAAGAGTTAACAAATCGAGAAGTGATTTTCAACAGCCCCTAGAAGGTTGGAAAAGACTTCTCAATACTGAGATCAGCTAGAAGCGCGTCGCGAGACCTAAAGTCAGTCTCATCCTACAACGTTGAGTTTATGAAGAGCCGGTTGATAGAGATATTGACAAATTGTGTAAGAGCAGATGTCGCGGTCATGATTGGTCAAGGCGTATTGCCTATGGCTGCATGTTAGATGTCTCAACTATTCTTGTAAATGATTTCTGGTTCATGGTGACATGCTCATTCCAAACCCCTTTTATTTTCTTACATCTTAGATATGTCTTTACTATTATTGTTGTGCCAATATGGGGTGTATGATTAGTTCTCAAAATCATATCTACACCCATCACGACTAAAATGTCTCAAAATGTACTATAAGAAACCGTGATCAGTTGTTGTTTGTTCACTTTTAGCTTATAACATTGCTCTATTTGAAATTGTTTTTAACGTATTTCCTCGCTCACGTTTTCTAAAATATTTATTCTAAACGTGATTTGAGCATACATTGCTATTGTTCGTTCGGTCTAAATTTTGCATGGTTGACTTGTTCATTGGATTAGAACAAATGTCACATAATCATTGTCTCACTACTGCAAGAGTGCGATTGTGACACTTGTCTTCCATTCAGTTGTGGGCCGCATCTTCTGACTAGTTACGTGAGTTTGGCTTGGAGCATACGTGTAGGTTGAAAAAGAAATGGTAGGATGCGGACTGCGAACAAGGGTTGGGCCACGGAAGATTTTTTTTTTACCACATATGGAGTTTGGGCTAGTGAGTCTTAAATTTGAGTTCGTTTGAAAATTTTTGGTTCATTTTTTAGTTCAAACAAATCCAAATTAAACCTACTATTTCCTTATTTCTTGCACGACTCACTCTTATTCTCTGTTCTGCCTCTTCTTTCTCTCTGAAACTTCTTTAAAGGCTATTCTTCATCATTATTTGGGAGCATCTTCCTTAAAAGGATTGTGACCACAGATGACCTATGTAGAAAATTTATACCCCCTTTCCTAAATCCTTTAGCGGACAACATACCCAAAACAGATTCGCTAACCAGACTGAGCTACACCTCGTCTCACCCCCCCGGAGCATATGGATCCACCCAATTGATGAACACTCAACCAAACTCGCCCATCTTATTTGGCATAGGGATGCGAGAACCAATCCGAGTAATCTACAGTGGGGAGACTCTTTAAAGCAACAAGCGAGAATGGCTAGGTTGATAGTAGGGTTAAAGAAAAGGCGAGTATGAAAAGACGTATCGCGTAACCGTCCCTGTAAGCAGCTTCATTCTTTCTTGATCTATGAACCTAGTTTATGAAAAAAAATCAGTCTTTCGGCTGAAAGTGTGACTGTTGGGTATGGATAAGCAAGACCTCTTGGTTCGGGCGAAACCGAAGATGTTGGCTAAGAAAGCTAAGCAGGCAAGTACAGGACGGACAAAATGCACATACAAATTGATTGACATGAAACCTCTCCCTCTCTCTTTGGCTAGATGGTTAGTTGCGCGATAAGCGGGAAAGCATACCAGGTAGGGAAAGAAAGGCTGCTCGATCTCCTATAAGGCGAATCCTCAATGGCGAGCTCACTAGGCAATGCTATAAATCTGATAGAAGTCCAAGGTTTCGTCTACTACGGACCAGGAAGTTCTTGAAGGAGCTAACATGAAATGAGAAGTACATTCGATTACGACAACTAATAGATAGCAAACTTTTTGGTAGAAACTGAATGATCTCTTGGCTCAGGCAAGAAAATGAAAAGGTAGTCGTACTCCTATCTTTTTCGTCAGACGATAGAAAAGTTTGAGCTGAAAGATTGAATCACTCCGGGTAAGAAAGGCGAGCATAGCAGGTTTCTCCAAACGTATAAACAAAAAGAGGAAGCAACAGGTCTTGAAGAGGATACCGATACGCATACATTCTCGCATGGAAGAACCTAGCTGAACCGGATCAAGGGTCCTAATCTAGTCCGACTGACCTTGTTTGGCTGGCCCCTGACCCTTGCAATGAGGTCAACCCATACGTGCTTTTTCCTTTCATTTAGTGAGATAGCTTACCAGCTCTTTCGGCTCATAGCAGCAGTATGAAAAGCGGAATCCTCATCCTGAGTCGAGTCCGCATTGCCATACGAATCGACTCGACCAAACCAAGAGTTCCTATTTTTTCTTTAACGAAAGCGGATCTAACAGTTTCGATAAAACCAACCTCTTTTAAAGAAGGAGTCGCTTTACCTTGATCACCGTGGACATACGCAGCTCCCGCTTTACCTTTACCTACTGTGAAAAGGAAAGTTCCCTCACGATAGGCCCTCCCAGCTCCCGAACGTCTTTCTATTAATCGAGAGAGGTATAGAATAGTACAACAAACCAACAAGACAAAAATGGACTCATAAGGTCAGGGAAGCGATTTCATTTGTGTTATCCGCCAAGGAAATGATCAAGAAATTCTCTATACACAGCTGAGAGATGACCGTATTGTTGCACATATTGAATAAAGTACCGTAGGCAAGCGAAGCTTTTGAAAATGAAAGCGTGTAGAACTCAGATCCACTTTCTTTTCGATTCGTAAACTTCAGATCTGATCTTCCTTTCGTCTCCAGGTGACTGAGAGAGAATTTGGGCCTGGCGTGCATCTGGTTCGGTCAACAATAAGGTACAAAGCGGATTGATTAAATGGGCTTGAAGTTCCATTATCGTTATGTCGAAGATCTCTACTAGATTTAGTGCACTTTGGTAGTTGCGAATGTTGCCGTAATCGAATGTCTTTCTCATTCGACATTCTCTCTTACCAAGCACTCATACTCACCAGGGTTGAGGAGACAGCCCATGAGCTAATTGGGCTTTGAGATTGCATATACGCAAAAAGAGCTCACTTTCGACTTTCTACCTCGGCGTTTTGTGCCCGGTTCTGGTTCAGCAAAGGGTCTGATCTCTTTCATTGAAGCACATTGATGCCGAAGGAGTCTTCAGAACCGGTGGAGAGGCTATGATGACTTCAGGCTATTCAAATAGCATGACTGATACCACAAAGAAAGGGTATCTAAGTCACACTAATAGAATAGCTTTTTCATAATAATTATCTCGATATATAATACCAAAAACCTGTCTGATGACTGATAAGGTAAGGGGTTTCAAAAGACAAAAGAATGACAATTCTAGGTGTGATAGAAGAGATCTTTTTTTTTTTTCAGTGTGCGCAGTACGCCTGCCTTCCCGACAACGGACAGGTTACGAGGCTTTGCACTTCGGCCCCTGAGAATACCACATCAAGGTGACAGGATTCGAACCTATGGTTC